GCCCTCCCACCAAGCGCCGCGCGCCCGGGGCCGGCGCTCCCTCACAAGTGCAGCGCGCCCAGGGCACGAGCGGCCAATTCGCGGTGCTCCCGGGACCGGCGCTCACCATGCGCCCGGGCCAGCTCCGGCACCATGCATGCGCCACGTGCCCGGGGCCAGGCCAGGCCTGAGCACTTGGCGGGCGCACACAAACGGCTCTGTGTCGGGGACCACTGCTATAGGAATTAAGAATCAAAGGATGGAAGCCTTGACATTGGCAAAGCTATAGATTCTAAAATGATAGCTGTGGGTTTTTTTTAAGAATATTAGTCAATAGTTATGCACAAACTTATTTTTTTTCAGCAACTGGAGGTCGAAAGGCAACAGGATTTCAGGAAACTAAGACAGCTTGTTTCAATTACATTCACGAGGCCCTGCTAGAGAACCAGTGGCAGAGGGCTGCAGAATTCATGACTGCCTATTTGGAGACATTGGAGAGTACCTCTGCTGAACATCGGATGGCTGCCCCAGAGGTAATTAGGAATGAAAAATCAGTAAGCTCTCCCTCATCTGATGCAATAATTTAAAGGGGTATCTGAGATAATCCAGGACCCATATTTAGGCTTTGTTTATTTAAGATATATATCCCCAAAATCTAACTATCAGAGAGATTTTCTTAATTTTCCGGTGTCACCTGTTATCTATTTGTACAACTGATAAGAATGAGGGCCAGATATGAATAAATATTCCACAAATCATACCAGTAGAGTGTTCCACTTAAAATATAGATTTTTCATAATCTCATTCTGAAGCATAGAAATGACAAGCACATTTGCCACTATTTCCTCTACATATCTGTATCCGTTTGAAAACTGCATCTTGTTTTACTTCTCCACCATTTTCCTCCAGTACTGCATGATCCTTCTTGTGAGTCTCTTTCCTGATTCCTCTGTGCATTTCAACAGATGGGGGAAAAAAAATTAAATGCAGAGCTATTGGATATAGGGCTGTGATAGTGTATAAGTTTAAATGGTTAACTGATGAGGCTGGGCTCATTGCTTAACTTTCACCGTTACATGCAAGGTCCTCCTCCTTCCCCCGCCTGGCTGCCTCTGTATCAGAGGCAGCAATGGGGGTAGGGGAGGGAAGCAGGTGGGAGATGGGCTTTTAAGCAGGCTCCCTATGAGTATGTTGCCTTTGTATTGGAGGCAGCAGCATGGAGAGTAAGGGGAGGGGATGTGTGCAGGCAGAAGCCAGCTCCCTATGCGCACTGGTTTCCACAGAGCCACATACCGCCCCCCTCCTCTCCACTGCTTCCTATCCTTCCTCTCCCTTGTATGTAAAAACTGAAAACTTCAGCAGTTACACATTTACCAAAAACCCATGCATTTTAACATCTCTAACTGGATATTACCAGCTTGTTGGCATTGCTGATCTATCTCAGTAGACAAATCTTGATCACAAAGATGTTTTGGTTGGAAGTGGGCTGTCCAAGAGCAAGAAACGTACAGGCAGTCCCCGGGTTAAATGGATCCGACTTACATCAGATCCCTACTTACAAACGGGGTGAGGCAACCCCGCACTAGCTGCTTTCCCCCAGCAGACCAGGGAGACACGAAGCTAGCGCGCGCGCCCGTCCCCCCAGCAGACCAGGGAGACGCGGAGTGGCTTTTCTCAGCAGACACCTCAGCTTGAGAATAAAGGACTGAGGGAAGTGAGGTGTGGGAGAATAAAACTGAGCTCTGGAGAAATGTTTGGCTAGAGTTTCCCCTACAATATGTACCAGTTCTGACTTACATACAAATTCAACTTAAGAACAAACCTACAGTCCCTATCTTGTACGTAACCCAGGGACTGCCTGTATTTCCGTTTGCAATTTCATCTAGTTATCCTCATCTATTTTGGGTTATGGTACCATGAGCTATCTATACCCTTCATTTTAGCAGGTAACATGAAAGGAAAATTTCTTCTTTGCCTGACTTGTTGTCAGTGCATAGAAGGTAACTTCTGGCTTCTATATGCAGTTTTCGTGAATTTTGTTTAAGCATGAGAGTATGGTGACCACTTGTGAAGTTTCCATTGCAATTAAGCTTTATTTTCACTTCTTCTTCATGCAGGTATATTTTACTATAGCAGTAAATAATACACAATAATATTCTATTTGCAGTTAAACATAGCACAGTGATGAAAGACTGTGCACAACAGTGTTTTCACTTCTGACATTTTAATTCATTTTGGATTATTTTCTCCATTGGCAGGTGGTGTGGAGAATAGGAGCTGAAATTTTGTGCCATCATTCCAAAAGCAGCATTGAAGAGTTCAACTACTTTGCTGAGCGGATAAAAAATGTAGGAGTAAAAAACTATTTAAAGGTGAGGACATCTGTAAAAAGGCACTACTGAGTTGAATCACACTTGTCTGAAAATTTTACCACAAATAACTCTTGACACTCTTAAGAATATCACTGATTATTAGAAGCAAGAGACCACATCTTAGATTTGTGTAATCATTATTTTTCCATCCCATTCCCAGTGCAGCCTAACATCTTGTTTGCTTTATTGACTGCATCTGCACATTCTGCTAAAGTCTTTGAGATCTCTACTGTGTAACTGTGGCAGTGTTAGATAATGTGTAATTGAATAGTTGTGTAACTGCTTCACAGCAGCCTCGTCTGCCCCCCTCCCATCTGCTGCCTCTGAGAGAGGCAGCAGTGTGGATGAGGGGCAGGCAGCACCGTGGAGCTGTTTCTGGGGGGGCTAGCTTTTAGTCAGCTCTCCCCAGCACTGCAACCATATATACCAAAGGATACAAGTTAAAAAAATGAACACACATGAAAAGGACAAATCACATTACAGAACAGAAGGGAGACGGGGGGGGGGGGGGGGGAGAGGGGAGACAAGCAGTCTGTGGGCCTGACATATGTGGAGAGCCTGCTTGAAAGTTGGCTCCCCACATGTATTGGCTCCAACCTGTTCCCCTCACCCTCTGTGTTGCTGCCTCTTTATCAGAGGTAGCAGCATGGGAGTGGGAGGGAGCAGGCAGATCTGGTGCTTGTGGAGAGCCTACTTACAGACAGCGCCTCACAGGCACCAGGTCCTGCTTCCCCCTACCTTGCTGCCTCTGATACAGGGAGGAGAGTACATGAAGTCCATAGGATTTACTGGTAATAGGGATGTTAAATTTAGAGTAATTTACTCTGAATTTAGAGTAATTTACTAAACTAATAGTCGATACTAAACGATTAGTCTCATAGACTTTAAGGTCAGAAGGGACCATTATGATCATCTAGTCTGACCCCCTGCATAATGCAGGCCACAGAATCTCACCCACCCCCTCCTAGAATAATCCTCTCACCTATATCTCAGATATTGAAGCCTTCAAATACTTTGAAGACCCCAAGATGCAGAGAATCCTCCAGCTGTGATATGTACCCCATGCTACAGAGGAAGGCGAAAAACCTGCAGGGCCTCTGCCAATCTACCCTGGAGGAAAATTCCTTCCTGACCCCGAATATGGCGATCAGCTAATCCCTGAGCATGTGGGCAAGATTCACCAGCCAGATACCCAGAAAGTTCTCTATAGTAACTCCTATCATTCCTCCATTGACCTATTTCCCACTGATAATGAATGGTCAATTAGTTACCAAGATCATGTTATCTCATCAAACCATCCCTTTCATAAACCCATGGGCTGTGTCTACATTGGCATCCCTTTCCGGAAAAGGGATGCTAATGAGACACTTCGGAATTGCAAATCTGCGGGGGATTTAAATATCCCCCGCGGCATTTGCATTTATATGGCTGCCGCTTTTTTCCAGCTCAGGGTTTTTGCCGGAGAAAAGCGCCAGTGTAGACGCGATTCTCCGGAAAATAAGCCCTTTTCCGTAAGATCACTTATTCCTACTTTT